GGAGCACACAAACAAGCTAATCCCTATTCCATCCCATTATTAGCAGATTTAGCTAGAGGCATTAAAAAGGAGCAGATAATGGAAAGTATAAAGACGCCGTAGAAGCAAAATAGTGATGATGATGTTTATTGTGAATATTGTGAATATGTTTATTTTCAGGACACTTGCAGATTCTTGTGGTAAAGAGTCATTGTGTAGCTTCTGGCAAATTCTTAGAGGTTTATGGGCAGTTTGGGTTGAAGTGCCTATTTATATTTACACTGATTGCAAGGGGTTATAAGATTTTGTGACAACATCTTTTACTGTGACTGCCTATCAATTAACATCCCTCTCTAGAGCCTTTTTCCTGCCTGGGTATCTATCAGAGGTGCTTTCAAACAACTCCAAATTCTGTATGTCTCCTTTGTGAGAAGGGTCACAAAGCCACTTTTCTGACACAAACAGTTTTCCCACTCATCTGCACAGTGTATATTCACACAGCAGCAGGCCACTATCAATCCCTACCTCTCCTTGGCATGGCCTCCTAAATATCATGGAAGCAGGCAGAAAGAAGAGTCTGCAAAAGTAGGATTCTAATGGATATTAGAATTCCCCAAGGGAAGGGGACAGCTGGTCTCCAAGCTGTATTTCGTTTAAGGAGAAGCTGCAGGTGGAATACATTGTGCCACGAAAGGTCTGTCTACCCACAGCGGCTGGAGTCTGGTGAAGTGTCACAGTTTAAGGGCTGTGGTCACTGCATGGTTAGGCAGACACTGAACAGGAAGAGCTCATCCCAAATGTCGTCCTTGAGAGTAAGATAGGGAGGTCTGGGCCCTGCTGCTATTTTGCGGACTTGGCCTCTCTCAGTAGCCTGCAGATGTCGGAGGGAGCTCTGGCCTTGTGGAGCAGAACAAAATGTGCTCTGCCAGAGAAGATCTTCCTAGTCTTCAGTCCAAGAAGTCTGTCAAAAGAAAACAGTGTGGGGAAATTAGTACTGGCACAGGAGTGGTCAGGTATTGAAGAGGAAATACATCCATGCAAGTACTGCTAGTTCTATTTCTCTTTAAAGTTACTTGCTGTTCTTTGGTCTTGTCAGACCTGATAAATGTGGCAAAACTGGGGCTGCGCAAGGCATGGACGGGAGAGCCGGTATTGCAGGAAGCAGAACCAATTCCTTAATAAGCAGCGTTTTTCCTTCCACGTTACCAGTGTGCCTCAGGCGCCGTTCTTCGGGAGGGCCTTCCTCGGGAGGTAAGTAAAGGGCTTCCTTGTGCTTAGGGAAGGTTACACAGAACTGCTGAAAGAGTAAGAAAAATGTCATTGATATCCACATGACATGGAGCTCTTTCCAAGAACAGTCATGTGCGGAGACAGAGCTCTAAATGCCGTTTGTCTTGTGGTTTGGGTAAGAAAATCAACAAATTCTTCTTTTAAACTTTTTGTTATTTTCTCTCTGCAGAACGTCAGACACTTCTGACACATTCAGCATTAATTCCTTGTGGAGTTGATGTTGATGGACATTCTGTACATGTGCAATAGTGAAAACGAGAGGGAACTTTGTATTCTGTACAGACTGCTGCATTCACTCACACTAGACCCAATCCTGCTCTTGCTGAAGTGTTTGTGAGGTTTCCTAATGATTTTACTCAGAGCTTGAAGGGTGCAGTGAACACAACTCCATCAAACAAAGTAAGGTATAAAAAATGTATAAGAAAGTAGGCCATGTTACATACAAGTAAGTAACATTCATGCTGCTGAAATAAACACTACAATCCTTTCTTTCAAAGTGTAAGAATCATGGGAAATACTTCCCATAGCTCTTGTAAAGTCTGGTACTGTGATACATACTAGAATATGTGACAAAGTTCTCTAGAAGAGTTATTTTATAAGAGCAGAAAATGCATAAACATATTGACTCAATGCATATTCATTGGATATACTTACTCACTTTCAATAACTTCATGTCATACAGCTTCTGCTCAAGTACACCATGTACTCAAGGACTAGAGCCAGCAATACACTCCCAGAGTCCTCAGAACGACATGGGCATTTTGTCCTGCAAGCTTTTTTTGACATAAATTTTTGTTACAGTTCTTTAAAAAGTGAATAGAAAGGCAAAAATGTGGATAGCTCCTAGAAGGAGCTTGTGAGGTTTTGCTGGCTGTGGCCATTTGTCCCCTTTCTCCTGTTTTGGGGGGGCGCAGTTGGATGCCAGAGGGCAGGGCAGCAGTCACAGGGACCTAAAAGGCTACAGAAATAGGCTGGCAGGAATCTCATGAAATTCTTGTATACACCAAGGTGAGCACGAGTTAGGAGAGCACCCTTGCAGTGATGAAGGCTAACCACATCCTGGGCTGTAGGAGCAAAAGCGCACCCAGCAGGTCAAGGGACCCTCTACAGCATCTATGTCCCATTTGGGGCTCCCCAATAAAGACATGGACATACCAGGAACAAATTCAGCAGTGGGCCACCAGGATGGTTAGGAGACGAGGTTAACAGAAATGAATTTGTTCAGTCTTAAAAACACAGATGAGAGTTGTCTGCTGTCCTCAACCTAATGGGAGGGAACACAAGCTGCAGTTTTCTTGGAGGTGAACAGTGACGAGAGGCAACGCAAGCTGCAACAAGAGAAATCCCAGTTAAGTATCCATTCCTTTAGAGGTCTGCCCATCACCGAGGAAAGCTGTCAGACTTGGACAAGATGGTCTGCAGACCAGGGAGCTTCTTACTTTGAAGAAATTCCTGAGACCTGCCAGACCCGACCAGGACTTCCTCTGTGAAGTGGGGCTTCACCTTTGACTCACAAGAGAATGACATGATCCTTTTTCCTCAAAGAGAACCAAAACCAAAGCATCTCCAGGCCCCAAAGTTCATAATGTTCCTGCTTTATCTGATGGTATTCTCACGTCAGAGGCAAAGAGCTGCAGCATTTTGGATAGCACAGATTTGTTCTGAGTGGTGAGCTCTTAAGCTGTTTCCCCATATGTCTCTTCTGAGCTTTTTTCTTGTCATCTTGCAGAGATAATGATCTAAAACCTAACAAGCCCCTGCTCCCTTGTAGCTTCTTCAGATTTGGTTCAAAATGGTAACCACTGGGGACAAGGCAGACAAATGCCACGTCCTCACAGCTGAAATTTAAGTCAAGAGCATTTTTCAAAGTTGATGCTCTAACAAACTAATGAGTTTAGTCTGTTACACATTCTCTTTAGGAGCACATGTGACCAGCTGGAAGGGACTCTGCTCTTTTAAAAAAAGGGTAAGGCTTCCCTGTATCTCTCATCTTCTCCATGCGGTATATCTATTAATATATCAGTAGCAGCCGAGGGCCTATCTGGTGAGAAACATAGGCCACCTAGCAGACAACTGAAGGAGATAGTAAAGCGATTATTCTTGGGTGGAAAGGGCTGAGAATGAACTAGAACCAGGCAAATCAAATATACAATCTAATAAAGCAGCGAAGGGGCTTTTGAAAGGCCAGTCAGATTTCCCTTCCCTTGTAACACGTGAACTTGTAAGAACTGCCTGTACAGCACTCAGGCTCAGGACTAGTGAAATAATCCTCAGTGTTAACTTGCCTTTTGTTTCCATTTATTTCTTATCTTTAAAGTAATGACCTCTGCAGTGCAGCCAGGAAACAACTAAGAACAAAACAGAAATGTTGAAAGGAAGAACTATGAGGCTTCTATTACATTTTTATTAACTTCTGACTTATTAATGTCAAAGAGTTTTTTACCTAGATAAGCTTACTCTTCCAGTGCCAGTGCCAGAAACTACTGAACAGGAGCTATCAAGCACACTCGCCCCCAAAACAAACACGGATAACTGTGGTGTTTAAATGGGGTAGATGTTTTTCCAGCTACATTTCAGGTACCGGTGGCACATTCTTAATCTATCCCTCGTCATTAATCTACTTTTGGCTGCCTAGGCTTGACAAATAGTCAGCTTTGTCACACAGAGCCTCATTGCGTTGCACATGTCTGTGAACGATAAAGCTTGAAGCAAACACTGCAGGAGCTCGGCTATCAATATGTGTTCTGATAACTGGAAACCAAAGGACCTCGGAGGACTGGGTCTCCAAAACTGTCTGTGTGAAACGTGGGGGGCTGTGGGGGATGAGCTAAGGTGATGACCGCTGGTACCTGGCTCTGTTTGAGGGCTAAGGGGGTTCTCCCTGTGAGGTGCTACCGCTGTGCATCCTTGCTCATTAGCTGTTCCCGCTCCGCTGTGCCTGCCTGTCCCTTGTTGGCGCCTCGCACCTCTTGGCGCAATGGCAACACAACAGGGCTGCTAGAGGTGCTTCCTAAGTGCTCCTGGGAGCTTCTACCCCCAAGCTTCCTAAGGCGCTGCAAACCCAAACCCAGAGCCTCTCTGGCACTCAGGCCGCTGCCACCTCCAGGCACACCGGGCTTGCTGAGTTCGTCCTGCAGGAGAGCGACCTGTCTGTGTGACAGAGATGCTGGGGGGAAAGAGGGACTAAATATCTGCACCCAGAAGGTGCTCAGGCCTGTCCTCTCGCGGAGCTTCTCCCGGCTCTGCAGCCGGGCACAGAGGGAGCCGGGGGGCCGCCAGGCGGTGGCACCGCGCGGCTCCCCTGCGCGATCCCGTGTGTTTCATGCCGCTTGCGGGAGCGGGCGGCACGTGAGGCGCTCGGGCCGCAGGACGGAGGTGACTCCTCGAGGGGCCCGGCGGGGCCCGGCCCGGCGCGGCGCTCCGGCCGCCGCCACCGCCCGCCGCGCACCTGCGGCCGCTGCCCCCGGGGGCGGCGCCGCGCCCGGCCCGCGCCCGCCGGTGCCGCGGGAGGAGCAGGAAGCGCCGGGCCCCGCCGGCCCCGCTGTCACATGACGCGGCCGCCGCCGGGCTGAGCGCAGCGAGCGCCGCGCGGGGGGGAGCGGGACCCGCTGCCGCAATGAGCCCGCGGCGCCGCGGCCGCCCTTGAGCCGCCACTGCGGGAGCGCGGCGGGCGCTGCGCGGCCCCGCTCCGCCCGGCCCGGCCCGGCCCGGCCCCGCTCGCCGCGGCTAATATGCTCACGCGCGTCAAGTCCGCCGTGGCCAACCTCATGGGCGGCATCATGGCAGGCGGCTCGGGCGCCGAGCACGGCGGCGGCTCCGAGCTGCCGCTGCGCTTCCCCTACGGGCGGCCCGAGTTCCTGGGGCTCTCGGCCGACGAGGTGGAGTGCTCGGCCGACCACATCGCGCGGCCCATCCTCATCCTCAGCAAGGAGACGCGGCGCCTGCCCTGGACCACGGGCTACGCGGAGTGAGTAGCGGCCGCGGGTCGCGGGATGAAGCCGGGCGCCTCCGGCCGCGCCGGGGCCGGGGCTGCCAGGGATGGAGGCGCGAGTGGAGCGGAGGGAAGCGCGTGTTGGTTTGGATGTGCGCTGCTCCTGCTGCTGCTTGTCCTCCCTGAAGTTGTGTTGGGGGGCTGCGGGGGACCCCTGCACCTGGCAGCTCGGTCTGGGGTAGCCGGTGGCTTCTTTGCGCTTGGAAGTTTGGGGGAGGAACAGAGCGCCAAACTACCAGGATTCGGCGGCCAAGCCCCAAAGTGGCCTTGGAGCTGCTGTTTGCTGATGGCTGCCGCACTGTTTGCTTTGGAAAGCAGCACCTGGCCCTGGTTTTGACCATGATCATACGAAGTGATGGCTGCTGGGGGCGCGGGGACGGCGTGCAGGGTAGGGGGCTCTCCTGGACGCCGATCCCTGTCCCCTGACATTGGAAGCAGCCGGGTGGGAAGCGCGTGTCCTTGCGCTCAGCACATCGATGCAGCAAATGCAGATCCGTCGCTGCCCGGATTCCTCCGGCAGTCCCGGGAGCAGCACTGAGCCCTCCGGCCCCACGTGTCAGTCCTTGGGAATATCTGTCCATCCAGGCTGCCCCCAGCTCCCGGGCTAGGAAGCCGTCTAGAACAAGCTGATCCAGGCCAGGAGCTGTTTTGCTGTGGAGCGCAGCACAGTGTCTCCTTGGGCATACACGAATTCCCAGGAAAGCTACCGTAAGAGCTGCAGTGAAGACTTTGTGTTGTTAGCGAGCAGTTGCTAGCGTTGTTTAAGAGGCTCCTGTGAGTTACTGCCTCACTGGGGACACTGAAGTGGGAAGGGTGCTTTAAAGAATCTTAAATTGGATCCTTCTCCTCGTGCTGCCGAAGAACTGAATACGCTGCTGAGCGGATGGCACGGGAACTGTGCCACTTTAAATGGTTAAAAGTGCGCTCTATTTGGTTTGTTGCTAAAGAAAATCCCTTAAAAAATCAGCTCTTTACCCGAACAAGCAAGCTGCTGCTCTCAGCTCGTGAGAGGTGCTGTGGCTTTTAGCAGGTAGCTGTAATTGCAAGTTGGTGACGCAGTCCGAGAGGTTTTCTGGCTCCCGGCTCCTGGCATCCATTGGTGCTTCCAGCGAAGCCTGTGTGAGACTTTGGGCAGGGAACACGTGGAGCCGGGAGACGAGGGCCAAGGCAGGGCCTGGGAACGATCCCTCCCACGAAGCAGCGTTTGGAGGTAAAGGAGATGGCTCGAGTGGTGGATCCTCATGAAAATAGAAAAACAGCTAGAGGAAATCTCATATACAGTTATTCTTTTGAGCTTTGAGCAGCTCAGCTAATTTGGAGGCATTAAAATGTTACTGGTTTTGTAGGGCCTGTTGTTACTGTGTGAAAATAGATCAACCTCTTGCTGTAACCCTGTTTTTTTTTTTTTTTTTTGTCTCATCCTGTTCTGCTGAAGTGCCAGTTCCAGTAATTGACTTTGGCACTTACAGAAGACGACTCAGTGAAAGGGGCTGCCCAGGTAAAGAAAGAGAAGAGCTAGTAAGAGTGCTACTGGACTTGTCCCAGAAATACCTATTTGAACTTCCAAAGTGCTCTGTAATGTCAAAATACTTGCTGTATAGAAACTGAGAGGAGAACTGTACTAAACTGCACTGTGCTTCAAAGGAAAAGCAGATGCAAAAGACATAGTCAACAAAGAAGAAGAAAATAAGGCCAAATTTGGGTTTTACTGAATTTCACTTTTTCTCCCTCCTGCTGAGTTGTTGCCAGGTTGTCTGAAAATAATTGCAATGCTCAGAGTTCTGCATTCAAAATATCTGTTTTCCTTCTGGAATGCCTTCAAATTACACGGAGAGAAAAGAGATGGAAAAATGCCAGGAAGGAAGAATTACTGTTATATATACGTTTTAAGTTTGTTTGCTTTGAAGGAGGAATGAAGTCCTTCTGTGCTATTACTTAGCATGATATTAGTGTCTGAAAAGAAAGAAACTATCAGAGCAGTATTTGCCTTTTGTTGCAGCACGAGAGCTAGAGGGAAAGTCGCTGTCCCAGAAGTAGCTTGTGGCATAATGCAAAAGGCAGCAATTTAGCTCTCAGTTTACTGGCTTGCTTCGGTAGGATGAAATCAGCAAGTGCTCTTCCTTCTCGCAGTGCTGCAAGGTCCAACTTCCTTGAGCTACTGGATTTTCCACATTTCCGTGTTGAGGCGAAACGGCCAAGGTGGTTGCAGCGTTTTGGTGGCTGTGGGGATTCTGCACGAGCGGCTGGGGCACCTCTTTGCACACCTAATTTTGGAGCAAGGAGAGCTCCTCATGCTCCCAGCACCAGATTTATTTCGCTGTGCTTGGGAGGAAACTCGGGCTCAGCGGGGACATCACCTGGAGGCCTTGGCTCAGGAAGATGTTGTAGTGTTTATGTTCTTTCGTTGTAAAAGCACGTCCGCTTACTGATGATAGCGGAACCGCTTGGCTTAGTCATGGCAGTGTTTCATCTGAGCTTGAGAAGGCATTTTGGGATTACAGCTGATTCCTGTGCTGGATTAAAGCAGTCTGAGACCACAAAATGTTTCGTTTTCTCAGATGTGAAGATAAAGGAACTTTCCTGTTCTATCAGCTCCTGAGAGTAGTTTTTTTCTTCACTCTCAAGCGGGATTTATAAAAAAAAAAAAAAAAAAAAGAAGAAAAAGCCCAGTCTGTTATTTATTTCCTCTCCATATATGCATGCTCACTGGGCTTGTTCTTTTCCAGCAATCACGGCTCCATCTCCTCCTTCCCTCCTCTTTTTTCCTTACCTGTCTCATGCCGAGTCATTTGGCAGATGGATATTTTTGCAGTATTGCTCATTCATGTCATGTATTTTAAGTAGCTAATTTTAAAAATAAATTATCTCCATGGTGGTATGCAGCAAAATGTAAATTAGCCTTTAATTTTTATTATTAGCTTTTCCTCTTTTAATACTGTGATCATTACACAGAGCACGTAGGCACGTGAATGAAGTCTTCAGAAACATACTTGATGCTGGGATGAAACATGGCTGTTTCCTGCGATTGCACTAGGAGCTCTGCCCTCTTTACTGAGCAGACTCAAAAGTGTCTTCAAAGCAACAGTCCCACACTGTCTTTGCTTGCACAAAAGCCCCGAGACCTTGAGTTTCAGTTCACCTCTATCCCCAGCATGGCAGGTGGCAGGGACATATTGGAAATACTTGTGCTCCACACTTTCCTGTTGGTCAGCAAACTCTGTAGAAGGAAAATGAAAATTGTTTCCCAAATTCAATAAGCTTTTTATTTGTGCTTAAGGGTCTTGTTTTGTTTAGAAATAACCATTTTATTCCTTACCAAGGGTGTACGTAACGTGGCCTTGCTGAATGTGGTTGACATGCAGTGAGAACAACCGAGGGAAGGGGGAGTCTGTTGGCAAATACTCTTTTAAGGCAGCTTTAAATCCAAAGATGTAAGGAGATTTGCTGCTCTCTGAAAGTTGAGTGATTTATTTGAGGAAGAAGAGGGGGGAAAATAATCTTGCCTGACACTTTCCTTACCCATTTTCCCCCTTATCCCTGGGCGCAGCCCTCCTCCCCGGGCTGTCTCCTCCTTGCAGCCACAAGCTGGTTTCCAGCTCCTGCTGGTCTGCCCCATTCCTTGGAGGAAAATTCCATCCACAGTTCTGTTTTGTGCCGTTTTCCATGTGTTATGACCTCTTCCCCACAGAACGTCTGCTAAGCTGCCATTAATGGTGTGTAAAACCTGGAAAGTGGCTGGTGAGATAGGGTGGTGGGATAACTGTAGTATCTAAAATGAAATAGCTTGGATGCTTTTCATCTGGTACCTGAAATCTGAACATGGAAGTATTTTTCACACTCAGCTCATTTTCTATATTTATCTGGTTACCCCGTTCAAGGTGGATCATGAACCAGGGTGGAAGGAGCCTTCAGTCTAGTTGGGATGAGGGCCATGTCCTGCTTGGCCTCTTTGGATGCCAAAAATATGAAGACTCCAGTGCAAGAAATGGCCGTCTGCTCATGGAGCTGCAGAGAAACTGCCACCAAATAGCACTTTATGTCAGAGAAACAAAACTCTACTTCTCTTCAATCTGCTTTGAATGTGAAGATGCATTTCTGATGGTCCCAAATGCAGAGCTGTAATTGCTTTCCTAAGTAATGACTCGTGGGCATGGGATCATAGCCAGCCTTTTCTGCATTGCATTCGCTCTTTTCTCCAACCTTACCTTCCTGTGATTGCTTTGAAGAATCTCAGAAAGTGCTGTTAAGCACACTGAAGGGAAATGGAGAAACATTGCCAGTTGTGTGTGTATGCATATATATATATATATAATGTTTTTTGGGGGGAACCTTATGCTAAAAGCAGTTCTGCCTTTCATTCTAAAGGCCGTTTAGATATCTCAATCATCTCAAGTTGTAACAGGCACAAACAAGACTTGTGTGGTGTGCACATTTCTTGGCTTTATCCAGGTTATCGCGTTGTCCGTGCGGTGCCCCCGCTTTGCCGGGGTGCGGAGCGCGGGCCCTTGCTCCGTGGCGGGGCGTTTCGGGGCCCTGCACCGCTGGGTTCCCCTCCCGCCGGCCGGCAGCAGCGACCTCGTGTTCATGTCCCCTGGGGTGCGGTGGCAACTGACCCTGCCCCGCCGTGGGTGACGCGCTACGGCCGTGGCCTTCCACAGAGTGGCTGTAACCGCACACTGGTACCGCAGGGACTTGGTGTAGAAAGAGGGAAAGCTTTTCCTTGACTTTTTTTTTTTATACTCTCTTCACCACCCCTCCTTTTCCTTCCTCCTCCCCCCCCCCAAAAAAAAGTACATATATACTAGTTGTTTTCCAAGGCTAATGATGTTGTATTATATCTTCTCATGCTGTATTACTTGCCTAGCTTATGGGAAAAGTAGGCACATGAGCTTGATGACTACAGATTTTGGCTTTTTAATTAAAATAATTTCCAGCCTTTTAGGGGGGCATCATAAAATTTAAGTTGACACTATCAA